CACCAGGAATAGGACACCAGGACCAGGACACCAGGAATAGGACACCAGGACCAGGACACCAGGAATAGGACACCAGGAATTGGACCAGGACGAGGACCAGGACACCAGGATCAGGACACCAGGAATAGGACACCAGGAATTGGACCAGGACGAGGACCAGGACACCAGGATCAGGACACCAGGAATAGGACCGGGACTAGGACCAGGGCTAGGACACCAGGACCAGGACACCAGTATTGAATGTGTGTGTGTGTGTGTGTGTGTGTGTGTGTGTGTGTGTGTGCGTGTGTGTGCGTGTGTGTGCGTGTGTGTGTGTGTGTGCGCGTGTGTCTTTGCATAGCAGTAGTGGAACAGTGGGGACCCATCCTCTCCAAGCCAAGACCCTAATTTAATCTGAATCTAGTTTACACACACACACACACACACACACACACACACACACACACACACACACACACACACACACACACACACACATATTGAAATACTGTATACTTTCACAAATAATTGTTTTATGACCACTGAATAATTCCACAAAATTAAACATTCTCTGGAACTTTCTTTTTCACTTATGTCTTTTCGTTCCTCATTTCAAGAAATCTGTCAATGGGGAAAGTTTTACATTTTAAATCAAGCACATTCAGTTTTTATCCAATTTTCGGTGGATTTTAATTTCAATTCAAAAACTTGCATGATTCATTTTAAGAAGGTTTTAGAGCGAGGGTTGGTCAAAAGATGAAAAATACCATTTGTCCATCTGTTTGAACGGTTTTAAAGCAGGGGTCCCCAACCTTTTTCAATCGGAGAGCTATTGGTAGCTCCCGAGCCACAGGTTGGAGACCCCTGTTTAAAGAGTTGTTATACATAAACTCTTACATTTTTGGCTAAACACTTCACACACAAAGACAAAACGATTCCCTTCTATACTCAACACAGGAGTGAGTGTGGCAGTTATATCTTTGTTGTTATTGTATGTTGCTCAAATAAACCAAATAAATGACATAAAAAAGGAGTGAGTGTGAACAGTTCTGTACTTCTCTCAGTCTCATTAATACAAAGAATACTTATGAACTCCATGTCTCTCTTGTTTAAAGGGAGTATATCTCCAAGTATCTTTCAGAATTATGTATTTGTTAAGATAGGATAAGATTAGATTGACTATTGATCTCACACTGGAGACATTTCCGCTTGTTTGTAGGAGGGCTGTGTTTCGGCTGATGGACACTTCAATCTCTCTTACGGGAAATCAATAATCTATCAATCCATCTCTATCTACTGTATATATGTATCCATCTATCTATACACCTAAATATATCTATCTGACAAATCATGTTTAAATTCATGCTTCCCCGTTTGTTTTGTGATTCTTTTCTTAATAATTAGATACATCTGTGCTCATCAGTCAATTCAGTTCTCTCACAGGACGTAAGGTAAAGGTGCACTTTATCTACCCCTGTAGGGCACTTTATCCTCTGCATTTGACCCATCCTGATGCCACTAAGGCTAACGTCAGGAGCAGTGGTCGCCGTAGTAACAGCGCCCGGGAACCCATCTCCAAATGTTGATGCTCGGGTTGGTCAGGACCACAGCTGCAGGATTGGACCTTTTCTGCATGTTTTTGGTTTCCCAGAGGAAACCCACAGATGCTGGGAGAAGATGAAGACTCAGGAATTGCAGTGATAAGAAACACACAGAGAGAGACAAATGTTCATTATTGTAGTTGAAGGTGGAGACTCCTGGATCATCGCCACTGTCCTTAGAGCAAGTGTCTCCAACCTTTTTCACCCAGAGAGCTACTTTCACCGGGTGATAAAGGCAGAGAGCTATTCCTTTAATCAGCTGTGGGAAAATAGCGGGTACAGTCAGCGTTTATCATCACATATTTGTTTCTAGTGACAAAGTAAGTGCATTTACAACAATAAATAATGATAATAAATAATACAATCTGAAATATTGTCATGGTTTATTCTTTGGTGAGCTACCTGGAAGGGGGTGGAGAGCTACTGGTGGCTCCCGAGCAACATGTTGGAGACCCCTGCCTCAGACCCTCCTGCATCGGCAAGGAACAACTCAAATAAAAATAGTTTTTCGAGTCTATCCACAAACTCCCGTCCAGAGGTACCTCCAGCTTTATACGCTGCCTTTAGCGTCACTGGGCAGACTCACTTCACACCACATCACCCGAACAATGTCAAAAACCACAAAATGTACTTCTGGGATGTTCAGCTGATACAGGAACCCAAAGAATCCGCCATTTTTTTCCAACCAGAAGACACACTTGTCAGCATATTTGTTTGATTTTCAGCTCTTGCATGCCCTGAACTGACAAAGTTGGCGTTGGCTTGAATACACGTTGGTCCAGCGGGTTGTAACGGAGCGGCGGTGAAGTGTTATGTGATGGAGATGATGACTAACAGGCCGACCACCGCGGACATTTTTGGTAGAGACCTATTCGACCTTATAAAAGCAGCAACGGCGTGAAAGCCAGTGTGTGGACGCCTGCCTTCAAATGGAGCGTGAATGCCTCCAATAACACCGACGAGCCAACTAGGTGATGCTAAGCTAACAACCTCTGTTTGGACTTTCATTGCAAGGGACGTGTGTAATGAGCTTTTAACCAGACCGTTTACAATTGGGTTTTAATGACCAGAATTAGCTGTCTATTTGTTCTGGTGAGAATAAACTATCAATCCGTCTTGTTTGGTTTGGTCGTTGTAGATTGGGCTTTAGGAATTCGGCAATGCAGACTGAAAGTTTAGAGTTCATCCCCATTATTCGAGCAAATCTGTACATTGTGTTACTTTGACCTGGACTTTGACCACAAGTCTGCACCCTCTCCCTGCCTTAGTCCTGCTTTGTGTGGCCTCAGTCCTAGTTCTACAGCCTCAGTCCTGGGTCTACAGCCTCAGGCCTGGGTCTACAGCCTGAGTCTTGGATCTACAGCCTCAGTCCTGGAACTACAGCCTCAGTCCTGGATCTACAGCCTCAGTCCTGGAACTACAGCCTCAGTCCTGGATCTACAGCCTCAGGCCTGGATCTACAGCCTTAGTCCTGGATCTACAGCCTCAGTCCTGGATCTACTGCCTCAGTCCTGGATCTACAGCCTCAGTCCTGGACCCACAGCCTCAGTGCTGGATCTACAGCCTCAGTCCTGGACCCACAGCCTCAGTGCTGGATCTACAGCCTCAGTCCTGGATCTACAGCCTCAGTCCTGGATCTACTGCCTCAGTCATGGATCTACAGCCTCAGTCCTGGGTCTACAGCCTCAGTCCTGGACCCACAGCCTCAGTGCTGGATCTACAGCCTCAGTCCTGGATCTACAGCCTCAGTCCTGGATCTACTGCCTCAGTCCTGGATCTACAGCCTCAGTCCTGGATCTACTGCCTCAGTCCTGGATCTACAGCCTCAGTCCTGGATCTACAGCATCAGTCCTGGATCTACAGCCTCAGTCCTGGATCTACAGCATCAGTCCTCGTTCTTCTGCCTCAGTTCTGGTCTCTGCTCATTTCCTGCATTTCTTGTGTTTGACATGTTTGATTCTCTGATCTGTGTTGATGAATCAACAGCTTTGTAAAGTCCTCTGAGATCACTGCTGTTGTGATTTAAGGCGATACACAAATACATTGAAGAGAATATTTGTTTAAATGCTGAAAAGGGAGATAGATTATTCCAATGAGCCGGTAAAAAAGTATTTCTTGTGTGATTCTAAACTATGAGACACCAAAACAAAACACATTAAGATATTAATATATAATATAAAAGATATAATATTTATTATGGTTGGTGCAGTCACTGGTACCATGTTGTTGTTGATGGTCCATGACGTCCATGTGAGTTTACCATTCCAATCTCGAACCATTAGTAAACACAAATACACAATAATGAAACAGTGATTATCCATTTGACAAATAAGTCTGAACTAAAGACCATTTACCAGTAAATATGTATAAATAAGGATCAATATGCTTAAACATGCAGTCGGGCTGGTCCCATCTGGTGTACATGCCTTTACCTGCTTCACTCTGACGGTGAAGGGCTGTGGTCAAAGACTGATTACTTTTCTTTTAGAGGCAGCATTTTCAGTAGATAAAATGCACAATTTCATCTTAGTTCATTTTAGTTGGTAGAGCATTGACCTCTGAGCCTGAAGGTCGTGGGTTCGAGCCCACCACAAGACTTTCTCCACCGACTCCCACTGTCTGCTGTCGTTGTGTCCTTGGGCAAGACATTTAATCTCTGGGAACAGCAGGTGCCACAGTGGGGCGGCTGCGGCTGTAAAGTGCCAAACTGTCTTTGTGTCCTTAGGCAAGACACTTCCCCCACATTAGAGTCTGGTGTGTGTGTGAATGGTTGGTGGTGGTGGGAGGGGCCGATGGCACAGACTGGTTGCCTCGCTGGAATGTTTTAAGTCTCATTTTTACTCTCGTGTGAGTTGTGTGGTCCTCTTTTTATGTTTTTTTTTTTTTTTTACAGATAACTCGTATTTTCTTGTTTCTATCACATGTTTATTGTCAACTGGTATTTTATTGTTTTCATTACATTTGTATTGTTTTTACATTGTGTTGATTTTATCTCTGTGCAGCACTTTTGAAACTTGTTTTTTCAAATGTGCTAAATAAAGTGGATTGGAAGAAAAATGTCATGTTAAGCGCCTTTGAGAGTCGCTTTATATGACAAATGCATTATTATTAATATTGTAAGGCTTTTCAATAGTTGCACAATTTACTCTAAAGTCTTTAATGGGACGTCTTTGTAGTTTTTTGGTGGAGCGTGGAGAGCACAGCCAGAGTGTGACGCATCCCTCTCTGTCTCTGCGAAGCCTCCTTGCATCAGACAAACTCTCTCAGGTGCTCATGGAAACCTCTCGCTTCACCTTTGGCTGTTTACCGTCTGGAACTAAGACTCATTTTCTGCGGCGCCACGGTCAGGTGCCATGGCCTTTATGAAAACCGAGTGAGGACAGTCTTCTGCACAATAACTTTCAGCACCAATTTTCACCAATGTCGAAACCCTCCAACCGTGGCCCTGTGCTGCGCGGAAACTTGGAAGGCTCCCAACAAGAGTCAAGTGGTGGGAACGATGTGGTGTGGCACAGCCGTGACATGTGCGTGTCTTGTTTCTCCTTCGCTTTCCACTCGGTCACGCTCTCTGCTCGGAAAGGACCGTTTACGGAGCGTCACTATCAACGACCACTGTTCATCAATGATTCACAACTATTTGAAGTTTTCACACCGATCCAGAGAAAGTTTCCATCAATGACTCCAGGAAACTTTATTTTATCCTGAATAGTTCATTTATTTGTGAAACTGTTCTATCGACGAGTCCTGTTTATCAAAGAGAGATTCTAAAGTATCTGGACCAAAAGTTCATCATTTATCACAACTAATGAATGATTGACAGGTTGCAAACTAATTTTGTAATCTTTGTTTGTGCCATATGAACTCGGACTCTGAGGAGCACAGGGACTGGGCTCCAGCTGGGACTCTGAGGAGCACAGGGACTGGACTCCTGCTGGGACTCTGGGGAGCACAGGGACTGGACTCCTGCTGGGACTCTGAGGAGCACAGGGACTGGCCTCCTGCTGGGACTCTGAGGAGCACAGGGACTGGACTCCTGCTGGGACTCTGAGGAGCACAGGGACTGGACTCCTGCTGGGACTCTGAGGAGCACAGGGACTGGCCTCCTGCTGGGACTCTGAGGAGCACAGGGACTGGACTCCTGCTGGGACTCTGAGGAGCACAGGGACTGGACTCCTGCTGGGACTCTGAGGAGCACAGGGACTGGCCTCCTGCTGGTCCCAGAGTCAGGACTAAACATGGGGAGGCAGCATTTCAGATTCATGCTAAAATCTGGATCAGTCTCCCTGAAAATGTTTCAGTTTCAGTCACAAGTTACATAATAAGTTAATTTCTTTAGAGAGTAACTTAGTAAAGTAACAGGTATTGAGAAAAGTCCCTTCCCCAACTCTGGTTATAACATGGTTCGGACCCAAATAAGACTGTTTTGCAATATTGTTTTCAAACGCATAACTAATTAAGTGAAAAAAGCTGATTTTGACGACAGTTGCCGTGTAAACAGGAGTCCTGGCACCGCTGGCTCTGGAGCTCCCAGCAGCCACCGCAGCAGAACGGCCAGATTCATCTCATTTATTAAGGACAATGTGAAGTTACATTGAAAAGAGGCTGCACCAGATTCTGTACCATGTGACTTTTCATCTGTAGTCTTTGACAATACAATCATAGAATTATTCATACAGTTAAAAAGTTGCTAATACAATACATTACTATTACATTACAGCTGCATCCATTCAATAATAATAAGCTTCTATGACAGGACACAACATCGCCAACAAAACAAGACCATAATAATAATAATAATAATGCCTCGGTTTTATACAGCGCTCTTTTGGACACTCAAAGTCTCTTTACATGTCATTATTCTCTCTCTCCAAACCCGGTGGTGATAAACTGCTACTGTAGCCACAGCTGCCCTGGGGCACACTGACAGAAGCAAGGCAACCAGTCTGTGCCATCGGCCCCTCCCACCACCACCAACCATTCACACACACCAGACTCATTCTAATGTGTGGGAAGTGTCTTGCCTAAGGACACACTGAGCTCCACAGACCTGTCCACAGACCTGTCCACAGACCTGTCCACAGACCGGTCCACAGACCGGTCCACAGACCTGTCCACAGACCGGTCCACAGTCCTGTCCACAGACCTGTCCACAGACCGGTCCACAGACCTGTCCACAGACCTGTCCACAGACATGTCCACAGACCTGTCAACAGACCTGTCCACAGACCGGTCCACAGACCTGTCCACAGACCTGTCCACAGACCGGTCCACAGACCGGGTCCGGGCTGATAGGAGGATGTCAAAGCCTCCACACCCACACAACAGTGGAACATCCAAAACCACTAATAACCGCTAATGGCCGTGACTTCACTGCTCTTGTTTCTTGTTTCTTGTTTCTTGTTTCTCGGTTCTCGTCTCTTTGAATGCGTCCCTGTCTCTTCCACTTACGCAGATGAAGTGTATGGGGCTGTGCTCCCAGACTTTTGAAGGCCATAGGTTTTTGTGGTGAGGTTTATAATGGAGAGGGTGTGACCAATGACTTTGTTTGGTTCACAGCACAGAGCTTTCATTGGGAAACCGGGTTTTGGTGAACACAACCGGGCCTAGACAGAAGCGAGAGGGTCCAGAGTGGTTAGAAGCACTCAACAATCAATTGACGTTTTATTTCATTTAATTTCATTTTGGACATCAGCTGGACAAACTGACCAATGACCCACCGGCGTGTCCCAAATGTGAAATACCACTAAAACCAAAAAATATAACGTACAATATTAGCAAACAATGAAATACTGGGGTTTTATTTGTATTTGTCTCACTAAGGCTTCAGAAGACTCCTTCACCCCGAGGTTGGTCCAGGTCAGACCTGGTTTAAGTTCTAGTTCAGTGCTGGTCGAGCTCTTGTGGCCCAGAACGGACCTGCTTTAGTCCTGGTTGAGTGGGCTGGACCTGGCTGAGTCTGGGTTCAGTCCTGATCTAGTTCTAGGTAAGTTCTGGTCCAGTCTTGGATCAGTACTGGTTTGGTTCTATTTCAGTCCTAGTCCAGTCTTGGTTAAGTTCTGGTTCAGTCCTGGTCAAGTTCTAGTTTGGTCCCGGTCCAGTCTTGGTTCAGTTCTGGTTTTGCAATTACTCCTGGTTTAGGTCTAGATCAGTGCTGGTTTTGCTCTTGTGGCCCAGAACAGACCTGCTTTAGTCCTGGTTCAGGGGGGCAGACCCGGCTGAGTCTGGGTTCAGTCCTGATGTTCTTCTAGTTCAGTCCTGGGCCAGTCTTGGTGGTCCGGTCTTGGTTTAGTCCTGGTTTACTCCTAATTAAGTCCTGATCCAGTCTTGGTTCTGGTTCAGTCCTGGTCCAGTTCTAGTTCAGTCCTGGGCCAGTTTTGGTGGTCCGGTCTTGGTTCAGTCCTGGTTTACTCCTAATTAAAGGTATATAGGAGGATTTTCCCAATTTTTAGGAAAGTTCCGCCTTCTCCACTTTTTGAACGAAACTCTCTGGTCTTATTGGACGAGGCCGTATCAGCAGAATGATTGACAGTTGGGAGGACCAATAGTCTTGACGATCCACCCGGAAGTAGAAAATCCTCCTATATACCTTTAAGTCCTGATCAAGTCTTGGTTAAGTTCTGGTTCAGTCCTGGTCCAGTCTTGGTTCAGTCCTGGTCCTGTTCTAGTCCAGACCTCCATGGGATTTCCGTCGTCAGTGAAGAGCTGGCCTCGTGTTGAATCCCTTCTGCTTGAATCATGCGTCACTGAAAATCTGACATATTCTGATTTGTGTTTTCTGTCTTTTCAAAGCACCACATTTCAATTGTGCTGGACAAATGTGGGCCCAAAACCATCGCAGGGCTTTCAGAACAGAGACTGGGATTATCAACTGGACTCTGGACTTTCCTGAGATTTTTAATTTAAGATGACAGGGACAGTGTACAATAAACATTAACCTCTAAGAGAAAGATGCATCGTACCTGTAGTCCCTGCGCTGATGTTATGATATTACATTAAAAAATAAGACATTCATGGATATACGGTTTACATTTGGTCAAAATACAAATCTTCACGTTCACAATTTGTTAAAACCTCACATTCATATTGCTCATTTACTGTATATTGGTCAAACACACACTCTCTATCTCTCCCTCTCACGCTACACTACTGTTGACAAAGATTTACATTTGTTCTTATTTACTTACGTCCCCATTGGGTATACTTAAATCTGTATGTAGTAGTAGGAATCAAAATAGAATAGGTAGGTACGAGATTGATCCCTGTGGGAGCAGTTCAGGAGTCCAGAAGCAGCAGAAACACATCCACCCAGAACATAATCAACTGGTCTGCAGGTTTTCCAACGTCTCATTATCCATTTTATAACCTGTGTCACGATAGAACCCAAGGCTGGACACAGATCAGCGATGGAAGGATTTATTGACAGTGGTGAGAAGGCAATGGAGCAGAGGCAGACAACCATTATCAGTGTAACAATCATAATCAGTCTAACGATCCTGCCGAGTCTAACGATCCTACTCAGTCTAACAATCATAATCCGTCTAACGATCCTACCGAGTCTAACGACCCTACTCAGTCTAACAATCATAATCCGTCCAACGATCCTACCGAGTCTAATGATCCTAATCAGTCTAACGATCCTACCGAGTCTAATGATCCTAATCAGTCTAACGATCCTTCACAGTCTAATGATCCTAATCAGTCTAACGATCCTTCACAGTCTAATGATCCTAATCAGTCTAACGATCCTTCACAGTGTAACGATCCTACTCAGTATAACAATCCGTCTCAGTCTAACGATCCTACTCAGTCTAACAATCATAATCAGTCTAACAATCCTTCTCAGTCTAACGATCCGACTCAGTCTAACGATCATAATCAGTCGAACGCTCCTTCTCAGTCTAACAATCGTAATCAGTCTAACGATCCTACTCAGTCTAACGATCCTACTCAGTCTAACGATCATAATCAGTCGAACGGTCCTTCTCAGTCTGACAATCGTAATCAGTCTAACGATCCTACTCAGTCTAACGATCCTACTCAGTCTAACGATCCTGCTCAGTCTAACGATCATAATCAGTCGAACGATCCTCCTCAGTCTAACGATCCTGCTCAGTCTAACGATCATAATCAGTCGAACGATCCTACTCAATCTAACAACCATAACCAGTCTAACGATCCTACTCTGTCTAACGATCCTACCTCATTAGCATGTCACTTTCCCTCATGAATCTATTGTTGGATGTTGTTTTTAGGATGTCATTATAGATGCGAGGCAAAACAAATCTTAAAAACCATCTCCTCTGTTTAGAGATGGTTTGTGTTTCCTCACTAAAGCGTCTTTCACCCTCTCCCAAAGCAAGCAACCAAAACACATCCATCCATAAAAACAAAACAAATGCCTCTAAAACTAGCAAACAACAGTTATAGTTTGCAACTGCAATAGCTCACAGCAGCAGAAGTGGTGTCGTCGCTTGGTTTGGACCATTTTCTCTGCTCTGGTTTGGAGTTAAAAAATGACAATGCATTCCTTCCGTAGATATCCTCTTGATCTGTTTCATTCAGACTTTAATCCTCTCTGCTCTGGATCACTGTAAAACCCTGACCACTGTACTGCAGATGCATTTACAGCTAGAAAACACAAGAACAAATAACATTATATAACACGAGACAATTGTTTCAGAGCTACATTGAAGCAAACACACGCAAATGTTTTGTTGTTGACTCATTGATTTTTTTAAAGGATTTTTTTTACTTTTTTAATGCCATCACTTTGAGTTTCCTTGTGTATGAATTGTGCGATACAAATAAACTTTCCTTGATTCTTTGAAACTGTTTTCCGTGGATGTGGACAGTAACTGCTGCAGAAGTTCTGTTGGAAAGTTGTTGATGAGTGCGGCTTCAGAGGTTTGGATTCTGTGGCACAAATACAGTTTTCTTCATGATGACAGAACACACCAGAAATTAGGAGTCGTTTAATCAACATCATCGGCCCCGGCTCCGACCACGACTCAGGGTCAGGCTGGAACTTTGCAATCAAGGACTTTTGGTCGGGTTCGCTCACAGAAGGCACCTGCAGGAGACACACAGGTCAGATTCATGGAGGGGCGACCGCTGCATGGACCAGTAAAGCATACTGGAAATTTGACCCATTCTTCTTTGCAGTGTCACCCATTTCTACTCCTCTCAAGACAAGGCAATTTTATTTGTATTGCACAATTAATACCCAAGGCAACCCAAGGTGCTGAACAAAACAAGGAAGTAACAATCACACAAGGATTTCAATCAATCCTCTGAGTGTGATGATTATTATTATCACATTACATTATTATTAATCTGAGTACATTCTGACTTATTATGTAATGTATTAGGAATGTAACCCTTGATATTTTTTAAATTAGATCATTTTGCTTGCCGTTGGTAAATCTTGTTTTAAGGCAGTCAGAATGAGCTTAAATTAAGATACATTTTGCCAAATTTGAGCAATTGTTTTATTATATTTCATCTCTTTTTGCAGTGTAAAAAGGGGAATTATTGTTGTAGGTTTAATGATACCGTCTCCTCTTGTTATGAATTCAACAGTCCAGGTTTGGTTTCACACTTCTGCACAGCTTCCTCGTCTCCAGTCGTGTGAATCCATGTGAAAATCTTCTCTCGCAAAGACTTCCATCTCAGTGGTGGGTTCCCAGTCTCCCCCTTTCTCCCCTTTCTCCCCCTTCTCCCCCTTCTCCCTGTCCGTCCACTCCTTCTCCCATGTGTTCTGCGTTTGTGCGGAGGTCTATCATCCCAGAACTCCTGTCCCAGTGCGACACCAAGCCCAGACCCAGCCCAGACCACCACCCCGGCCTCCCCAGCCTCCCCCCAGAGAGTGATGCCAGCTGGGGTACCCTCTGGACCAGACCCTCAGACCACTGGCCTCGCTGGATTCTCATCAGAGGCCCACGGTTTCTGCCTGGGAGTGAGTTCTGATTGCTCCGTGTGATAGAAGGAGCTAATTTAGGCCTGGGTTTGGAAAGAGGCTCACAGAGTTTGGTTTGAGACGATTGAGCGCAGAGATGGGGCTAACGATGAGGGAAAAGTACCGCTGCCGCCCAAACAGGCAAGAGAAATTATGATTTATATTCTTTTATTCTGCTTCGTTTTGTTCCATTCTCCATTAAACACAAGATTACAAAGGCTGCTTTTGACTATAAAATTAACACTAGAACTCCCACAGCAGTCAATTAGATGGATTTTAGTTTTAGAAGTGTAAAACCTCATCTCATGTACATTCTTGGTCGTCATAATGTTGTGATTTTTATGTGTATTTTATTTTAATGTCATCGGGTATTTTAAAACCATATTTTATTTTTGAAATGT